GGAGGAGGAGGAGGAGGAGGAGGAGGAGGAGGAAGAGACCAGCTCAGAATCCGATTCCAGCTCCGGATCCAGCCAAGTCTCGGTCCAGAGTATCCGCTTCAGGCGCACCAGTTTCTGCAAGTCGCCCAGCCTCCTGGCTTCAGCCAGCCTCGTGCACCATCCACCCCATTCGGCTGGCCATGAGGAGCTCCCTGGTCCAGCGCAAGTCATCAAATGCGAAGCGTCGGAAGAACCTGAGGACTGGAGGACCCCGGCTGGCTGGGTTCCAAAAGCTGAGCCGGGCTTGGACTGCACCGCTCATCCTGCCGGCAGCATGTGCTTAGGAGAGCTGGAACAGCCCATGGCAGGAGGCAGTGGCAGTGGGGGAAGATCCCCCTGGGCTGGCGAAGACCACTCCACCCCCGTGCCTGACGTAAAGTCTCCAGACCTGCCTGGGGTCCCCTGCTTAGCTTGCGGGGACTCCTCGCCTAGCTCAAAGCCAAACCACCTTTTGCCCCAAGCAAGATTTCTCCAAGAGGCCCAGATCTGCCAGCCTGCCATTGCAGCTCACCCTTATCCATCTCCTCTTTCTCCAGCTGGTGCAGAGAGCCCCACTGCTGCCCCAGCCCACCTGTCCAGGGAGCCCCCAGGAAGTGCCCAACTCGATGGGCAACCAGTCCCCTACCAAGACTGTTCCCAGGGAGCTGCTGCTGCTGCCGCTGCTGCTGCTGCTGAAAGTCCCAAACCTCAAAGCCATGCCCAGCCTCTGTCCCTTGTGCCCATTATCCAGATCAAAGTTGAGGACAGCAGTGCTAATGCTGAGTATGGAGCTCTCCCAGTCCAGACCCCGCTCAAATGGGAAAGGAGCGACCATGAGACCAAGGTGGAGACCGACCGCCAGCCATCACCGCGGCCCAGCCCCACCCAGCATCCTGGGAGCCTTCTGTTGCCAGCCAAGGCAGACCCCACCTGCCTGGAGGACCCTCCTAGCCCTCCCATGAGCCCCCCACCTCCCGCGCCTCTGAGCCAGGCCCTTGCTGCATGCACTTTAGGCGTTGCTTCAGCTGCCAAACCTGAGGATGGGGATTACAAATTTGGAGCCCGGGTGAGGAAGAACTACCGGACCTTGGTCCTGGGCAAACGAGCCATCGTCCCGAGCCCAGCACCACTCAAGCCAAATCTGAAATCCGTACGCAGCCCCCGGCCACCCCCGGGAAAACTCCTGGAGGCCCAGGAAGGCGCCTTGGAGGACTTGACTGTTCTTAACCGACGCAAGAGGGTGGCCAGTAATGTCACCTCCACCATCAAGAGGCCCTTCAGTTTTCTGGGCAACTTTCCTTGCCCTCCCTCCTTAGTGGTTGGCCTGGACGGGGATCTCTTGCCAGCCTATACCTTAAACACTGCCAAGGGTGCCCAACCGCCGCCCAAAGCCCATCCTGTCTGGAAATGGCAGCTGGGCGGGTCAGCAATACCTCTTCCACCCAGCCACAAATTCAGGAAATTTCATTCATGAAAGAGCTTGAATGGGAACTCTACTTTTATGGTTGTTGTGTGGATGGCTTGGGTTTCTGGATTCATCCTTATAATAATAGTAACAACTAATATTATTATTTTGATTTTCCCCCTTTCCCAACACCTTCCTTTTATTACAGTTGATGGTCTCTACTCTGGATTGTTTTTCTCCCACCGCATCTGCTTGTATTTTGATTTTTGGAATTCTAGTTTATCCCTCCCAGTCACTGGGGGGAAGAAAACAGCAACAAAAATCGGATTACTATTTTTTTTTGCCATGAAAACAGATTGTGGGGGAAGAGGGTAGTAGCGTGCATGGAGGGAGAGAGATCTAACATTCCACAGACTACTTCAAGCAAAAGTCTCAAGTTAATTAAAAACAAACAAACAAACAAACACCTCAGTGGACTCTGTCAAAGCTGGAACACTTTACCGTCTCAGATTGCTAATAATGCACCCGGTACCTCAGTTCAACTGCTACAAGTAAATGTTTGGGGTTTGGGATTTTTTAGTTGAAAGATTATTCGAATGAGCCATTAATATGTAATGCACTAGATCTGGAACATGGAAGTCTGTACAATTCCATTCGATTTTCTTCAGCAAGAAGTTGCACAGGGACATTTCTCTATCATTCAGTTGTTGGGGGGGGAGGTTCTTCTTAACTTCTAAGTATCCCCCCACCTCCCAATCCCCACCTCATCTCCTTTCCATCAAAATAATTTACATGCCTACAGCTAGCAGAGAGTGTGTATTTCTAGATCATCACTGGGACAGTTGCTTCTTTGGCAGCTTAAAATCAATAGAGGCAGTTAAATGTAGTTGAGTATTTGTTTAAGATTAAAAATAAAATGATCCAGGACAAGTCAGTTTTAGCAAACTAAGGGAGGAGCCTTCTGTCCCTTCCCATAATAAATTGTTCAGATTGACCACTTACGTCATATCTTGGCTACAGTATTCAGTCCGGCGTATCACAGACCAGACTTGTGCACGTTTAACTTAGAGAGTCCCCCTCCCCCCCAGTTCACTCTGAAGTGATTGATAAGGACTGCAGGCTTAGAAGAATTAGGATTGTGGTGGAGCAGATTGAAGCTATGTTTTATTTGAAAAGATGAAGGAGTATCCATAAAATGTGTTTCTCTCAGATTCAGAAAAATCAGGATAATGCTGTTTGCTCAGACTTGCATTGCAGGAAAATGCAATCACATCCCCATGTTTAAATGCAACAGAAGCCCCAAGGAGAATCCCTTGCTTTCAGTAGCTGCTGTGGTCACCCAAACTCAGGTGTCTGAAACCAGGATGTGTCACTGTTTTCTTTACATGCCTGGAAACTTGACTTTTCCCAACCATCCCATCTTTGTAGCAGGATCATTTTTTTTACTGCACATGACAATCAGAGGCAATTGTCTATATTTGCACTTAAAACTTGACATAATTGAAGCAGGCGGACTTCTAGAGTCCGGCCATTGGTGAGACATGCCAGTGTAATATGTTGTGATAATGGAAGCAGTAAATCAAAATGATGGAAATTTGCACTCTTGGAAAAAGCATGCTTTAGCTTTATTTTCAATTAAAACACTGTTTTAAAAAGAGAAAGAACGTCCATATACTTCTTGCAGGATTATCCGTTGTTTTTCACTCTTTTGTGAGGTGGGCGGATGAGAAGAGTGTAAAGCTTTGGTTGGAAGGACCGATACTTCTAGAGGTTAATTGTTGTTACTATAAAACTGTGATGAAAAGGAAATAGTCTCACAATAGTTGTCAATTATGTTATATCTGTGGGATAAGTGAAGAACTTTTGCAAAGTTAATAGATCCCCCTGAAAGCTGCTGAATCAGCACTTTGGGTCTGCTTCTCTGTCCTGGGTTATTCTTCCTTGCTCAGATTTTATCTGAGAACACATCTTTCTTTTAAATTAAAAATGCTCAAGGATTTCATCTATGGGGCAATCCTAAGAGAATAATATATTTTCAATTGCAAAAAACCAAAGCAACAAGGCACTGTTTATTCTGAGTGTCAGAGTCAACATTTCTTATGGAAATGTGATCCATATGTTGTTGTTATTATTTACAATGTTGACATTCTGCCCCGGGTGATACCTCCCTTCTTTGCTTCTATATATTGCAAACAGACCCAGGCTGATTTCTTCTCTATCTCATACAGACACAGGTAGAAAGATAAAGAAATGTCTCTTTCTGTAAATTATGTGCAAGAGCCAAATATATTTAGAAATACTTTCACCTGCTTGCATGATCAGCACTCCATCTTACAGGCTTACATTCCTAATTTACAGGGCTGCATTATGCATTTAGTTGCTTTGCTAAAATGTGATGCTTTAAAAAGGAGGGGCTGAGAATGTGAATGAAATTGTTCTGGCAGAAATGTTGCCCTGGATGTATGTGTGTCTAGGCATGGGTCACCCAATCTTGAATCAGTGAAGGTCTTCTGGCATGGGACATCCCTCCTTCTCTCTTTTGCCTTTTGGTTTTTCAGCACCCCCTAAGTGATTTGCAAAAGCCCTTCCATCCCTTTGAGAAGAGAGACCTGCCAAAAGACAGAGGGTCCTAAGATCTGCCATCTCCTTCTCCACATAAACCCGCATAGGCTTTCTCCACTAGGCAATGCCTTCACAAATGGAAGGATCTTTTTTTGGCTTCTGTATTGAAAAGAGTAGGGCAAATGTCAACATTCCACATTTTGGACTACCTTACCTTTCAAATATAAGAATTTCTAAAAAAATAAAATATGACTAAAATTGGGCACTTGTTACAACCTCACCCTTGGGTTTTCAAGGCTAATTTGCTGCTTACAGTTTTGAAAAGTTGCAAGATAAAGAATGCTCAGCTTTTCAGGCTGCTTTTTCCATTAAAAAAATGGACTGATTGCTCAGTAAAAACAATCCTCTAAGAAAACCACCCATCTTTGAATCTTCCC